AAAAAAAAAAAAAAAATACTACATCCACACCATTGTGAGGTGTTGAGGATTACATGAATAAGTTTACCTGAAGTGCTTAAACCAATCTTTGGTAACACATTAAGTGTTCAATACAAAATAGGCATTACTATTATTTCCTAATCTATGATAGGCTCTTGGCATATGCTTGTTGAGTGAACAAAGGAATGTTTTATAAGTCAACAAACCTTTCACTATTATGGTGTAAAGAAAAATAACTTTAATACAAAAACATGTTAACTTCAAAATTAAATTAGAAAATTAACATATTAAAAATAAAAATAGTGTAGAAACAGAAGTGACTCAGTATTATCATCTGCTTCATCCTGCTTCTCATGGAAACTCTACCCTAAACATGTTTCCCTAAAGCCTTCTCAGTTTGGCCAAGATTGGGTTCAGTCAAAAGCTGCTGCCCCTTTTGTCTTTATTACAAGGTATTTTGTGCTTTTACTTTCCTCATTACGAAACCTACTGGCTTTCTTGTACCATCGTTGTCTAAAAATAAACCTGAATAGTTTATAAGATACTTATTTTATAGGTAGCAATTATAATTTGAAAATAAAATTGTCTAGTATTTTCTTATAAATGGAAAGCGGCCCACACTAGCATAGTTTTAACTTCCTGGCTAACAGTCAACATTGATGAATAAGCAGTAGGTGGTCCTTGTGCTGACGCTTTTGTTCCCAAGCTAACACGTTGAAGATTTTAGCAAACAGATGCTGCCCTCACTGGGGACTCTTAGACCTGCAACAGAGAGGCCCAGGTCCTTGCCTGGCCTTGGCAGTTTGTCTCAGCCTAGCACACATGACAGAAGGAGAGTGACTTTCAGAAGAACAAAACAGTGGGTGCAAGACGAGACCCTCCAGCTCTCCTAGTTCTGGGGCTGTTGTTTTTTAGGATTAATTGATGCCTTAATGAAAAACTTCCCTATAAGGACTTCACTATTCTAGTAAACCAAAGCTACCCAGTATCGAATAGTGTCGAACAGTGTCCTCCTCCCCTCTCCCTCCAATTCATGTCCACCCAGAACATGTCAATGTGACCTTGTGGAAAAAGAGTCTTTGTGGATGTAATTTCGTAAGATGAGGTCATACTAGACTAGGGTGGCCCTAATCCAATGCCTGGGTCCTTATAAGAAGAGGGAAATTCAGACAAACAGACACAGAGAGAAGAAAGGAGGCAGAGACTGAGGTGCTGCATCTATAAGACAAGGAACACCAAGATTTGCTTGCAAAAAAACCAGAAGCTAGGAGAGAAGCATGAAACAGATTGTCCCTCCAAGCCTCCGAAAAGGAATCTGTTGACACCTTGATTTCAGACCTCTAACCTCAAAATTGTGAGAGAATAAATTTCTCTACTGTGTTAAGCCATCCAGTTCATGGTACTTTGTTACAGCAGCCCTAGGAAACAAATACACCCAGAATGTCTCTTTTGTCATTTAAAATCAAAATGGTCAAGAGAAACATATGACAAGGAACATGCCAGAATCTCAGGTCTCTGAGAAGAGAAGGACCGCACTAGTGGAGGACAGTAGCTTTCAGTCCTGGCCGTGAGGACTTAATGTCACACACGCCACGGTTACTGACAAACGAGCAGAGGCAGTGACACGGGCCACAGCTGAGGTCTGAGTAGAAGTTTTCTGAAAGGAAAGCCAAAAATAATTTTAAGCAGTGTCTCATAGCGGGACGTTGAAAGAGAGAAGTTGGCAATGTGTTTCTCTTTTTAGATCTTATCAGAGAGTCACAAAGATGTAACTGAACACGGCTTGTCACCTCTGGGTTACCCACTCTCTCACGGGAGGTGAGAGGCCAAGCTGCAAGGCCTTTTGCAACACCGATGACCTAAGCCACTGCCGTCCTCCTGGCAGCAGCCGGGCTCACGGGGGCTAAGGTGTCTCTAGAGAGTCCGGCCTGGCCCATCCAGAACAGCTCATACCCCTGACCAGAGAACTTTGGGATGCAAGTGTCACGTGTGGACTAAAAGCCGAAAACCCCACTGAGAATTCCCATAGTCAACCACAGCTGGTGGGAGGGGATTTCAGGTGGGAAGTTGTGATGCTTTATCCACTAATAGGCAAAGTGAGCACACGATGTGGCTACCAGCAAAGCAGAGGCACCAATGGTAAACACATAACAGAGAGAGGGAGAGAAAACATTTAGAAAAGTCTATTTTAATGTCAGCATACCTATAGGTAATGTTTCACTATGAAAAAAAATTTCTTTATTTTATGGTTTTAGCATTTTTTTTTCTGAATTATGCATAAAGTCTCTAAATTTCTTAATCTGGCCCTGGTGGGACATCTTTCCAGAGCTTCCAAAGTGACACCACACAGATGACCCGCAATCAGCCCTGCCCACAAAGAGGTGTCCATCAGCCCACACCTCCCAGTGCCCACACTGCGGAGCCTCTCCCCACCTGTAGGCAGAGATCTGGGCCCTGCCTGGTGACTGGAGCTCCCTCTCCATCTGTTCCTTGCTGGTGTCCAGCTGGGTGGTCAGGAGATCCAGTCTATTAATTCGGAAAAGCAGCTCCTTCAAGAAGGACAGGTTGCTTTCCTCCAACATTCTCTTTTCCTGGAGTCTCTGGAATAACATCAAGGCATCCTTGATGGGTTCCTGCTTCCTTTGTGGGATGTAGTCCAGGCTCAGGAACTTGAGGGAGGCCAGCTCGTCACTGTCCAGCTGTTCCCCAATATTATACAGACAATTGTTGAAATTCATATTGGTCGAGTGTTAGGAGAATGTAGTCGTAGCCTAGGTCAAAATACAATGTTATATTCAGATGAGGAAGAAAGGTACCATTGACTGGTTTATTACCTCATCAAAAGCTAATACCTCTACTATATGCCAGATATTCTGCTGTAGATACAGGGAAGAAAACAAACAAGACAAGCTCGCGCTCTCGAGTGGCTTACTATTTAGGAAGGTAGATATGCAAACTAGCCAATGGTCAGAGTTGTGACCAGGGTGCAGTAGGAATATAGAGGAAGGATCCCTAACTCAGCGTGGGAGAAGGGCTTCCTGGAGGGAAGGCGTCTTTGAGGAGAAGGTGGGAAAGGACAATTCTTGCAGGAAATAATTTATGCAAAAGATGGAGGCAAGAACATTCAAGTCAATTCAGGCAGGCAAAGGAGCTCAAAAAGTAACCACAGAGGGTCTGGGAGGGGGAGTGATGGCATAAAGGGATGAAACTGTGGCCAGGAACAGTTAAGAAAGGGCCTCATACTGGGGGGCAAGGGGTTCAGACTTTGTCCTGAAGGTGATGGGGAACTAAAGAAGGATTGTAAACATGGGAACGACGTCATCGATTTAGGATTAACATTTAAACTGTGGAGGACAGATTGGAAGGGTCGGAGGCAGAAGAAGTGATGGGTTCTGACTGAATCAATGGTGGTGGGAGGATATGATGCAGGCCTGTCCCCCAAGGGCCTTAGGACCAGCACCCACAGCTGGTCAAGAAGCTGAGACTGGAAAGCGAGCCAGGTCAACCTTGTCAACCCTTTCAACTCAAACAGTCTCTAAACCAGGTTATGTAGTATTTTTACCTACTTACACATTTGGGTCGGTAAAAAACGAGGGGGCAATATTTCAGGAAACCCCCAACAACTTTCATGCAAGCAGCCCATGATCTAGGATTTCTCCTCCCCTGAGCCCCTTGACTCACCTTGACCGATTTCTCCCCACCCTGTCTGCTCTGATAGGCCCGTGTTTGTGGTGAAAGGAGCCCTTGGAGCATGTTTGTACTGGATTCTTCACAGGAACAAGACTGGGACCTGGTCTGTAAGTGGCCAACCGTGTCGCCGGCAAAGCCAGGAAGCTCACCTGCTGCTGACTGTCTTGGGGAGGTGGGTATTGCAGTGGTTCAGAGTATGGGGCTTTGGGGTCAGACAAACTTAGGTGAGAACCCAGCTGGGGCACTGGCCCCATGCCTGGGCAGTTCACATCCTCTGAGGGCTCGATTGCTCCTCTGTACAATGGGGAGGAGAGGAACACCCATCTCCCAGAGTGTTGTGCATACAGAACACCTATGATGCATTTAGACTGATGGCTAGCAACTAATGATGCCAAATGAGTGCTAACCTAAAAGAAGGTAAAAGACCCTGCCGGGGGCCCAGACAGGAACCAGGCATGTGACCCTGAGCACTTCTCTCACCCTCCCAGTTTTCCCATCTCCTCAGCTGGAAGCACTGGTTTTCAGACTCTTCAAAGTTGAAGAACTCCTCTTGAAGCCTTCCTCGGATGCTCCCTTGCCTTAAGAGGTGGTCCTGGAGGGCTACCATTTGAGAACCTTGAACTAGAACCTTTACGTTGCCGTCCAGCTCCATCATTTCCTCCATCCCACAGACTCTGTGCCCTTGGGCACTTTCCTTAACCTCAAATAACCTTAACCTGTCTGGACTTGTTTCTTCCCTGAAACAAGGCAGATGGCTGGGTTCTTGGATCTTTAAGCTCCCTGCATTTGCTAACATTCTTGGGTGAAAACACAATCCTGACTCTGTCACTCAGAGGTAGTGATCAGGTGAACCAGGACCCACCTATTTTCTACATCTGATGTTAAAATAGCAATACTTTTGACTTGCATATTAAAGTAAGTTTTAATATTTTTAAAAAGTGGTCCAAAAGTCTTTGAAACTTTTAGCTTTTCATTTTAAAACACCTTTCCACTTCCTCCTGATTATGGAGGCAGTATTTTTTTGTGAAAATTTAAAATACAGTAAATTATAACATGGTCACAGTCATCATTATCATACAACACACACACACACACACACACACAAAGATACATTTATATAAAAATTAGAATCAAGCTGCATATCCAGGTGTGTACACCTGTATTTTTTTCCCACTTCATATTTATAATGAATATTTACACCTACCACTAAATATTCTTCTCTGGCATATTTTTAATGTTTCTTGATTTCTAGCATGTGAATATATCAAAATTTATTTTAAGCAATTTTTCATTCCTTTACTGTTAAAAAATCATATTGCATTGAGAGGCTTTTTCATATATCTTGTGCATATCTCTGATTATTTCTTTCTTAGAATTGGAATTATGGGGCAAAACCTTTTTTTTCCCTTTGAATCTAGAGCTTACATCATTGTTTAGACAAGTTTTCTTGATTCAGGAAACTGGAGGGATGGTGTCTTGGAAGGATACACTTTGCATTGGATTCACAAAGACTGCAGAGCCTAGCTCTGTCATTGCAAAAACAATCAATCATCACGGAAATACTTTTGTTTAGGAAAGATACTTTAAATATGTGGCCAGCACCTAACAACATATGTTCACAGTATGACAAACAAAAACCGCTGGACTTACGAGGAAACAAATTAGCAAGCCCGGTCCTTAAGTCACACTCTCTAGAAACACAAGTGTAGTCAACAGGCTGTGTGCACGGAGTCTGACCACAGCATTGCATGTAACCCTGAACAACTAGGAACGTCCCAAATGTCCTTCCTTAAAGATATGGCTACAGAAACTAAGGTATAGTCATACTACAGAGTATTATGCAGCAGTTAGGGGAAATGCACTCCATCTTCCGAAATAAAAATAAGTAGATATCCAAGATATGCTATTTGACAGTGAAAAAAGTGAAAAAAGTAAGCTGCAATATAACAAAAAAATCAGACCATATAAAAATACTCAAAGCAACAAATTAGATTTTCAGTGATTACAGATATTTAACTAAAAGCAGAAAATAAAAGGTAAGAAAGTTCTGGAAAGAACTTTCTCTGAGGAAGAAGTCACTCTCTCTGAGGAATGGAGGAGAAAACTAGCATTCGGGGTGAAGGAGTGAGGAAAGGGAATTTCCCTTTTGCTGTCAAGTGTCAAGGAGAATGCATGCAAACACCATCTGTGTAAATGAAATTAACATTTCATTTTATTTTTAACCCCAGAATTAACCCCAGAATACCAGCTGGGGTGTGTTCTTGCGTTTAAGGCAGTGTAAGAAAGTGCATGGGGGAAGGGCAGGAAATGAGGCTCTGTGGGAAGCAGGGGGCAGATCATGCAGGTCCTCAGGTCCTCCTCCAGGTTAGGAGACCAGATTACAGAGGAGAGGCACAATCGCATGTGTGTTCTTAACAGAAAACAAAATATTAGAAGAACTCAAACTTTGAAAAGAACTTAGGAGAACTCGAAGAACTTATTTTCCCCCCAAATAACAGGAAACTTTCATACATCTCTCTCAGAAACTAAAAAATCTATAGAAGATCTGAGCAGCACAACTGACAAACACCAACAGGCATTTCCTCTCAGTAGAAAATACATTACCTTTCAAACACATACAAAATATTCACAAAAATTGTCCACAAAGAAAATCTCAATAGATTTCCAAAGAGCAGAAATAATACAGTCCATATTTTCTACTAAAAGTTAACAATGAAATTAGAAATTAACACCTGTAATTAGAAATTAACAATGAAAAATGAAATGAGACGTTAACCATGACAAATGGCCAAACCAAACACACGTCCACACGTAGGTGGCTTTTTCAGCACAAGGTGTCAGAACAGTTGGGCAGACTTCTAGAACAAATTGAAATGGACCCTAACTGAAATCCTTTCATCAAAATAAACTGCAGATGGATCAAAGATTAAAACCTTAAAATTAAAACACTAAGGAAAGGAACATAGGAGAATTTTTTAAAATAATCTGACAGTGGTGAAGAACCTTTCTAAGTATAACAGAAAACCCGAAAGCCATTAAAGAAAGATTGATAAATGTCTTTAAACAACAACTAAAATACTCTGCAAAAATAACCCAAACAAAATAAAAATAAATAAATAAATCTTGCACTGGGGAAAAAAGGGCAGTGATATGATGTACGATAGAAAAGGGACTAATTTTCTTAAAATAAGGCTCCTGGAGAGAAGACTCTGAACTCACCTCCTCCCAAGGACACAGCCAATTTACAACTACTCATGGAAAAATTACCCCTGAGAGAGAACTGAAAACTGGATAAGAGGAACCCCTGCAATAACGGACAATCCTAACTGAGGTGGAAGAGTCAGAAGTTCCCTTCTGGAGAGAAAAAACGCCACCTTCACAAACCACAGCGCTTCATGGCCAAGCGGGAGCAGCCCAAAGGTACGCAGCCCTCCCTGGAGGAGTGGGGGACCTAGGCCGGGGAGCTCCCACTGTAGGCATTTTTTGGACCCAGCACAACCGAGCTGAGTGGCATAATATCTGCTTGCTACTAACAACATTGGGGAGTACCTGCAGAAAAGCTGATTCACAAAGAAATTAAAGCCGGCTCTTAAAGGGCCCGTGGACAAATTCACCCGTCTCAGAGAGCAACCTAAAATCACCAGAAAGGTGCACAGTCCTTTGGTGATAAGAGGTTCCCCTGATAGGCAATGAGTGCATCTCAGTGAGAGGTGAGACCTCTCCAGGGACTGGGACATTAGCGGCGGCCATTGTTGTGATCTGGTGTGGGTGTGCTGGCAAATGCCATTGGAGTTCTCCTTGAGGCCTGCTAGCCCAGGGTCTGCCCCACCCACTAGAGCACTGATTTAATCCAGCTCAGCCAGGGCAGGCACCCTACCCTAGGGACTGGCCGCACCCAACTGCAAGCCCTGGGGCAACTTGTGGGCCTGCATAGATTGGTGACTGGATTCTCCACAGCCTGGCAAGTGGGTCCACCTCTGTGGGGCAGGGCATGCACAAGGAGCGGGTGGAGAGTGTGGGGCATTGGTGGAGTGTGTGGGGCTGCTGCCTTGGAGAGACTGGGTCTAC